AGAAGTAGGCTGATCATTATCTGCATCTCTTAAGTCATGATTTCCCTCTTATTTTGCTCTTTTACAATTCCAATTGTGTGAGGGAAACTCCCCTCACTCCTGGGCTTTTTGTTGACCTATTACCCCTGGAAAATACTTATTTAGTCTGAAAGTTATCAAATTAAAAACTAGCAATATGATCACAATAAACAAATCAAGAGCATCTGTTTTCTTGTGAAGCCTCTTGATGATGCTGTTTCTGACATGAGTAAAAAGAAATCTCACTGATATTTTACATGGAAAAATATCTTTAATGTAGTTTCTTACTTACTGTCACTTTTTCTAGATTATAACCTGATGTAAGCTTAGGATTTTTTCATGTATTACTACACTACTAGATTTAAAATAGCAGAAACAATTCAGACACATTGCTCATTTGTAAGCATCTTTGAGTTTTAAAGCCCGTATGTGAATCAGGAAAAAAGGCCGTTGTGGCAATCTGGGTGTTAGTGAAGCATGTTGCCTTCTCTTTCCAGCCCTTTCACTCCTTTGGTTCCCTGAGCCGTGCTGCTGATAAGCTATAATCTATTCTGTGTCTCAAGAGGAAGAAGACAACATTTATCTTGTATCTCATAACAGTAGTGTGAATATGCAGGATTATTTACAGAAGTTCATATAAGATGACAAAAGGTCACTGTTTGAACTGGTGCTTGGTGTGCAACTTGCACTACAGAGTGTGTCCATGAAGGTGCTGTAATTTATAGATCATCATGGTTGCTTCCATGAGAGATTCACATAAAAGTCCTGGGAATTTGTAGTTGTAACTTTTGGAGATTTTTTGGTTGACTGAATCAAAAGTGGGAGACCAATAAGAAGATGGGAAGGGAGCTATTACCAGCTGTGGGTAGGTATAGGCTTATCTGGGGGGAAAACAGACTGGAAATGGTAGTTACTTTGGCTTTAGTCTTCCCAGTAGCACCACCTGATACTATGTGTGCTGTCATTTGGGTCTCGGTGATGTTAAACCCTGGTGTGTGTGGAGCTCTGCAAGCAACGCTGTCGGTCTTCAGACAATTGTAAAATGCAGTGTTGGGGAGAAATGAGTTCTCCGTCTCACCAAACTCTTGTTTCCTTTTCTGTAAAACTAGAAGCGTGAGGCTTGTCCACATGCCTCAGGAGGGTGTTGTGAGGATTAGCCAGATAAGATCAGCTTTCTTATACAAATATGTAAAACTGCTTTTAAGTACCGAGTGTGATTTATGACTGGGAAGCGTTTGAATGGCAGCCCAGTGCTTCTCCTTCCCATAGCACGGCATATACCAGACTTGTTCTTACAGCGGTGCAAGAGACTCAGAAAAAACCAAGAACATACCAGATGCACTGGAGCAGTTCTAGTCCCTCCAAAAATATCTTCAAATCCAGTGTTTGCCTATCTGTCATTGGAGACGGCTTCTTATTAAATCTTTGACACTGCTTAGGGCTTGGGCTTGTCCTGCAGCAGGTCATGGAGTTATGTAAAATCAGGGATAGCGGACCCGAGCACAAGAGCTTTGGCTCTGCTGCTGTATTTCTGCCTTGATAAGTATTGTAGCAGAGACTCAAGCATATAAAGCTGTCCTAGTCAGGTTTCTGAAGACAGCACTGGAAGTTTTGGAGTAGCCATGCTACTAAGAGGATGCCGTAAGAAAATAACGACTGTGGAACTGCAGATCTTGTGAATGGGTTTCTGGCTGAGTGCTGTCAGCAAGTACCTTTCAAAGAAGGGGTTGAGTGCTGGCTGGTGTAGCAGGATTGGGAGAATTCTTCCTTGCTGAAGAGCAAAGTAGCTTCTCAGGTGTCTTTGGGTCACTCATAACATACAGTTTAGCATTACTTCATGCTAATGGGGAAGAAAATTCGTATTGTTGTGGGGATATGTGGTATGGAATTGGTCTGCACATTCCCAACGCTTAACTCTTATGAGACAGACATTCCTGAAGAGAGAGGTGCTATGTACAGAGATAATGGTGTTTCTTTCCAGTTTGCAGAAAGTAACCACTCCTGCCCTGCATCCTCAGATATCGAGGGTTTCTGTCTCAGAAATCAAAAAGTAAATAGTGTTCAGAGCCTCCTTCTCCTGATGTGACTCACAGAAGAAAGGTGAGTGTGAACTGTATGTATCTGAAAACAAGCACGCACCTTGCCATGGGCTCCTGGACAGGTTTGAATGGTTGGAAGAAGGGCTCTTTCCTAAAATCGTGGTGGTTTATCAATTCCCCGTTATAAATCTATTCCACAAAATAATCTACTTGTGCAGACAAGTCACCTTGTGTTCCAAATGTCTGTCCTTTTTCACCTCCTCTGTCCCCCCTGCCCTATGCCACATCCTCTCCATCAGAGAGCATAGTATGACATGTCCTGCTAGAGAGCTGCTAGAGGAAGATAATTGAGATAACAGAAAAAGGTACTTGTTACAGTAATTAACTCAATGGATTAGTCTCCTTTTGTTTTCATCTGGCAGTTTCACAATCCTATTGTGAACCGAACTCAGGAGAGAGAGAAGAGGCCCAGGAGCATCCGCAGGGTCCCACGTCTGCTCAGGGGCTGGCCCGGGGCTGGCTGAAGGATGTTCCGTCCTGCCGAAGGCATCCAGCCCTTCCCACAGGGCTGCCCTGGGGCTTGCAAAACCTGGCAGGGCGTTAGAGTCCAACGGAGAAGATCTGAGTATGCCTGTGGGGAGGCAGAGGGTTAACTACTCAAGAGTGGGGGACTATCACATTTCCTGGACTCCAGACCGCAGGGGTTCGGGGGAGGTCACCGGTGCAAGCGAACGCTTGGCATCGCTCGCGGATGCAAGCGGTATGTGCACAGCGACAGACGGCAGTGGAGGCACTTATTTCAGGTTGCATAATTCTGCACTGAATGCTTTAAGCACACAACGATCTTTTCTCTCACGCAGATTGCAAACCGAGGCATCAGATGAGTAGATATTTTGCAGATATATCTTCTGCAGTTTAGTTTGGTTGGTTTTTCAAATTCTGTGCAAAAGTTTCCTATTACTGTCTTGCTGATTTGACTGGAAGGTGACTGACTGCATTTGACTCTTGCCGGATTATGTTGGGTAAAACTGAATTTATGATGCGTCTTTTGCTTGTGCCACAATTTCACAAATTACTGTATCTATTTCATAAATCTAATAAAGTCATTTTGGGAGTAAAAGTATTAGACAAAGAATTTTCTTTTTCCTTGCAGTTGCTGAAAACACACAGTTTAGAGCAGCTGTCTGCAGTCCTAGGACCTGGGAAGTCTTTTGCTCATCTATAAAAATGAATCTACATTTTTCAGATTTTAACGCTTGCTGCTGCCTTTATAGGTTATGAGTAGACACAGTGCTGGTGAACTGCACACGCAGATATGAAAATCAAAGCATCATGGAAACACTGAAATAGCTTGGACTTGCACTTGGAATATCAGTATTTGCTGAGGCAATATTTGGAAATTTGAGATCTGACATCATACTAAGCACTAGATGCACTAAGATCTATGGAGGCTTTTTCTTCTGTTGAAGGCCAGGAGCATGTGTAAGCATTCTGCTGATTTGTCAGAAATGTGGATGATTTTTCTTTGCAGTAGAATCCAAAAAAATGGTTATTTAGGAGAAAACTGTCTGAGCTGAATTTGGAGTGGAAAATGTAGGAAGATATGAAAATGTGAGAAAGATGAAAGAGTTGTTTTATTTCTTGGTTTCATCTGCATAGGAGTTACCACAGAAATAGTCTTTTGTATTTTAATATTTATTATCTTCTTATCATAATTGAACCAGGTGGCAGAAACACATCAAGAAATGCATTTGATCTGATAGATACTACATAAGTTTAACTCCTTTTATATAGTTGTATCAGATGCATTTTCTACAATCTAGATCTCTCTTTTCCCCCAAGCACATATTAATGGAAACCTTAAGAATAATAATGTAGTTGATGAGCATTTCCATCATGCTTTTGACCCTAGAAACATGTTCATCCCATCAATATCACACTTAATGCTGAAAAAAGGGATTGTATGCCTGTGTCTGTTCTTTGAAGTCTGAAAAATCCACCATACTGCAGTGGAGGTGGTGAAGAAATGATGTCGTTGGAGGTCTTTTAAGATCCTCCACCTCCAAGGCCAGCCCTGTTACAATGCCTCATCTCTTTTGTTCCTCTCTGAGGCACAGAGGAGATGGAATCTGATCTTCTCTCGCCTGTTTGGGATTTTCCCTTGTGTGAAGAGATCTAGGAAACTACTAGTAAGCCTGGAATAGGTGGCTGAGATAAGTGTCTCCCCTTATATGTGTTTTTTTTCCAGCAAAGCTCCCTTTTTGCCTCTTCTGTTTCTCTTGTGCTGAGTGGAGAGGTGACAGAGAGCATATCTGAGCTCATGGCACTATAGAAAGCTCTTCTCAAAGCCAGTATTAAATACGTCCTGAGAAAGAAACAGTTCTCCACAACACATTCCAAATACACAAGCCCATTAAGAACTTGTAATTAACCCTGGGTATGGTCTTGCATGTTAAAAGGTTCACGAGTTCTCTGCTACTGAATATTTAGAAGAAAAAAAAAAGTAGCTATAGGCTGGAAAATCTGCAACCTTGCAAGAAAGAAGCTAAGTGATTTATTCATGGTGTATATCAAAAAATAAAAGAAAGAAAGAAAACACAGAATTTCTGTTTGAATCTCAAGTCCACAAATATTTCTGGTACTACACGGTGGTCAGAGTGTGCATTTTGCTGTAGCATCTCACATGAGTGAAATTGTTTTGCAGAAGCATTTTGACACCCACTGGTATGAAAACAGGATGTTCAAACCTTTCACCAAGTACAAAACATATAAAATGAAGACTCTTGAATAATTTTGGTGCTCAGGTAAATCATAGTTTTATTGGTTTAGCAGTTGTTATTTCTTTTATATTTCGGGTGGACAATAAATACAATAAATAACTTTTCTGCTTCCTGTTCTTATTGAAGAGGTTTGGGTTTTTTTGAAGCTTTTAAAATTTTTTTTTTAAGTTCTAGGTTTATTGATTGCTTGATAGGTTCTCAGGATTTTGTTCAAAAATTCCTTCACATTTCCCTTGGTCTTGTACTGGCATTGATCCCCGCGTGCCAGGCTCTGTGATGGAAGAAAGAACAAAGATTGGCTTACCAAAGGTTTTCTAAAAAATAAAGGATTTAGATGAAACAGTTAAAATATACATTCTTTGGAGCTAAGCAAGGATTTCAAAAACAGTTCCTAAAGAACTGTTCCTTCAGCAGTGCGTGTAACAGTGGCTTTTCATGGTGACGGAGAAGGGGACAGCTGGGCTGTCTTACAGTTACAGCTGCAGTAATTTAAACTAGGCTGTTTCAACCCGGAAAACAGGGGAGACAGAGCAGTCTGAGGTGAGACAAGGGCAATGGGTCTGCTCGGTGGTGCAGTGCCATTCTAACAATATTCCCCCCTGCAAGTTTGAAGCTAGCTTAAAGGCGCTGGAGACACTGCAGCATCAGCATCTTCCCTGTCTCATTGAATTACACAACAGTTTTGCTCAGTATCTAAATAAAGGGTATTTCACTGCCTCAGAAAAGGCATCTGGGGATCCAGGAGTCTTCCTGAGCATCACCACAAGTTTGAAGATGCTGCAGGTCACAGCAGTATTTCATGCCCAAACGTCCTTAAGAAACTGCAGCTCAGGTAGAATTAATGCTCCAGAAGAGAAGGATGCCTCCGCCTGCCTGTCCCCAGCCATGCCACTTCTGCACATCTACTCTCCAGTTTTATATCATACTATTTAGTGTAGAAACGCATTTTGAGAAAGGAGAATAGAAAAGCAATTTAAATTAAGCTCCTCTCCCAGAGATCTCTCTTTAAAGGTCCTCATGCTAAAGGGGTTTGGAGAAGGGAAGGGGCACGGTGGGGCAGAACCCCTCTGCCTGCTTCCTCTGCCAGTTTTGATAGCTTTCCCTTGCCTCACGCGTGTTGCAGCTATCATATCTGTCTCCTGCATAAAGCGAGTATTTAAAACACATTTGAAATTAATCAAACAGCTACAAATGTTTAAATTACAAAAAAATCCTTTCTTTTGTAAAAGATAGACAAAGATCTATAGAAAAATAAGACAAGTCTTACTTCACAGAGGTTTCTACCCAGCTGCGTCTGAAAGGTTAGATTAAGCCATGCAGTTACTGCGTTTGAAGATATGTTGTTTTTCAGCATGTGTTCGGTTCCTTCCACAAAGCATGCCAATTCGTGGCCAGGCTGTTAAACGAAGAAAGCATTAGAAAAAGCTAGAATGCGCTTTGTGTTTATCTACAGAAAGAAGAAATACCTAATCCTAAACGTGGCAGCATGTCACAATTAAATTTTTTGCATTCTATTGAAAACTGATACAAGAACTTTGGGAGGGTTGTAAAACACCAAATCATCATGGATGCCATAAGAAACACCTGCCACATCTTGCAGAAAACCTCAAACCGTAAAAGTGACCTCTTCGAAGTATAGTTTCAGCTAATGCTGGGTTTCACCATGTCTGAGGAGGCTTGCAAAAATGAAATGGTTTTTGGACACACCTAGAGCTGAGCATCTGAGGCCTGACATCTCTGGCCCAGGTTCACTCAGTATTTAGGCACCTAACCATAAAACAAGGTCTTGCAGAGATTTTCAAAGCAAGAACCTGTATCTCTTGATTTGTAAGTCAAGCCCACAGAGGACTTTTGCCTGACTCTGGGCTTGGTTCTGGTTGCACTGATAATGGGAGGACTTCTGCGTCCCTCCCCACACTATTCATCAAGCTCAGTTTTGTTGCTACTAGTGTATTAAAATCTTCCTCATAACTGAAAGCAAAAGTTATATAAGGAGCAAAGTGAACGAACTTAAACTCAGTTAATACTGAACTTCTTTAACAACTACAGTAGCTTAAAACGTTAGACTTACCTCAGCAATGGGAAGACATGAACATGACTGAAAATGAAAAGAGTGAGCATTAAAATCCAGCATTGCTAGCATTCAGCACACAAGTACATTTCTGTTTCGTTTCATGATATTCTCAAAAGCGAGGTACTCACGCTGACCGCTGTCTCCCTACATGGGCAACTTACAGAACTTCCCTTCTGAAAGAATAACAAGTGAGAAATCAGTATTTACTATCATCTACTTTACAAGCATGCATTTTTACAGAATTAAGGTGCTAGAGAGCCACTTACAAGTAGAAGTTTTGTATAGCGGATAATTTCACGGACACTGCAATTCTGCGCTTGCACAGAGAGCAGCAAACAAGAGAAGAGTATGTATGACAGCATGCTGGCATTCGTGTGCAACTCAGTCTGATGGGTGACAGAAGAATAGGAGGACACTCCTTTTAATTGAGTCTTCACAAAATTCCCATTCTAATATGGAAAAACCCAATTATAAAACTGATACCAGGTGCCCACTATTTTTTCCCACTAGCTTGGACAGCTTTTTAGAGAAATCAAATGCGGAATTGAGTCACCTACTGCAGTGACTTTTCTTTAGTACTGTGGAAATTCACAGATGCTCCTCAGAAGTGATTAATTTGAACATTATGATATCACACCCCAACAGGAAACAATGGTTAAAAATCTACAAAAGCACTTTTTTTTTCAGATGTGGGTTTTGTCTCCTGTGCTTATGTAAGTTATGGTTCCATGAAAGCGAAGAGGCAGTTATGTTCAGCATTGCCAAAGTTCCTGAGAAAACAAACTGAGAGGCTGCAAGCTGGCTTCCCCCTGGATTCAAAGCAGGACCTTTCTCAGAGAAAGTTGGTAACGCTGCAGGGGTCTCTTGAGCAGACAGACAAACGGTCGGAGTTGTGGAGCGGTGCCTGGAGAAGTTGTCACGCTGAATTACAGCTGCCGCGCCCAGAGGGCGATCCCACAGTCCTTGTCTGAGATCCCGCCTTTGCCAAGTGCAAGTGCACCAGTGTGCAGATACGGATCGGGCCCTCAGAGTGCAAACACTGACCGCAATGTCTCATCCCACCCGTTCCTTTTTAAGCAGAAAGGAGGGGGTGCAAAAATAGTCCTAGGTGACCAAAAAGGTATTAACTTGGAAATTCTCTCAGCTGGAGTCTCCAAATCAGGCTGAATGTCTGCTAGAACTTCCTGTGGCCGCAGAGGTTTTCCTTTTTCAGCAGAGCAAGTGGTAGCCCTTCGGATTTCCTTTAGATCCCCAGTGTTGACTTTTAAGCTTCCCTCCTGTTATGCCTTAAATCCCATTATGCCTCAAAGATCTTCTCCAACAGCTTGAGCCTTCAGCTGCTCAGTCTGGCTGAAGGATGAGCACGATCTCTCTGGAAACTCTGCTAGAACGAGAAAACATCGGGTTGCAATTTGCTGATTTTTCTCTGGCATTTGCCTACCGGCAAGGGATTCATCTGGCCGAGCGCGGCTCCGGTGCCTGCCCGCACGCCCGGGGAGCGGAGGAGGCTCTGCCTGTGCTCCTGCCCCTGCCTCCCTGCCTGCCGAGCACCCAGCACCGGCTCCGCGCTGGGGCGGGTGCTCCCTCCTTTTCTTTGAAGTTCGTCCTTAGGTGATGTAGTGTGGGAAGTGTACATCCCATTAGGCAGCTTTCACACAGGCCCCAGGGAATACCTAGAAAAAGCCAGAGACCCTCCCTTGGCAAGTTAAAGCTGGCAGCAAGCTACGTTATGATCAACAAAAGTATATCGCGGGGAGGGATGGCATTCATGAGCCAGGCAGTGGCATCTTTCAAGGCACTGGGCTGTTAGAGAAGGGCTAAAATCATTGATTTGTGATGGAGAGCCCGTGATTCCCTGAAAAGCAGTAAAGAGACTTCCGTGACGGGTAGGTCTCCCTTGAGGAAACAGCTTTTTGCTCAAGCAAAGCAATGGGCGTGCTGCTCTCTGTTTCTTCAGCTGGTAAAGCCCCCCGGCAAGAGCTAGAACAATTAGTTTGAAGCATAAGTCCCTGAAGGAAATAAATGATGTGTAACATTTGTGGGATGCTTGTTTTCTCAGATGGTTGAAAAAATGATTTTACATGGTTTTAAAGGGAAGAATTCACAAACATCTTTGATTTAGCCAAGGTTGTGCAAGGAATATGGTAACAAGCCATGGGAGAGAGCATCAAGGGGCTCTTCGTGACCACCAGGAATTTCTACTGTTTCTTGTTTTTAAGGAAAATATGTTCATTAGAAATCCCATTTTGCCCAGTAGCTGCTACACTCTGTCTTTGCAAGGATTTTACAAAATCTGATATATTTAGCTGGGTCTGTAGGGCCTCTTCACCTACGGAACGATGTCTCAATGCAGCTGCCGTGCTCTGTAAGTGAAAGCGATTGGTGGCATAAGTTGTATGCAAGATACATAATTAGGACCTTTCCATCCATGAGATGTAATTATGTTCACTGGACAGTGAGCTTATAACTCAGATAACTTCCTCCCAGTCCTGTAGCCCAAAAGGACAAGATCTGTATTTTTGTTACTAACTGAAAATCAGAATGGCTCCCAGAGCTGCTCCCCGAGCCCACGGTTCCTCCTCGCAGTCTCTATCTGCCAGCGGCGCCAGCGCTCTCTGCATCTGTTCATTTCTATTTGATTGCTCAGTGAGATCCGTCCCATGCTGTTCTTGCTCCAGGGCAAATACAGAGAAGCTGTATTCAATTTACAGTGAATCAGAAATCACCAGAAGTCAAACTGGCAGAGAAAGAACTTTCCATGTATTGGTTAGGGCAGCAGTGGGTTGGGCACAGAAGCGAGTGGCACCGGTTGCGGCTTCTCTTTGGAGAGTTTAGGCTCTATTCCGGCATTTAGAGGCTGATCCAAAGACTGTGGAAATTAATATTTGCTGCCATCCCAGCAAAAAGACCAGCTTTTTTATATAATCTTTAAACACTTAGTTTTGATATTTTAAAAGTCTTCATATTGATGACCAGCTGCGGCAACGTATTTTCACAAATATGTTGTCATTTGTGTGTTAAATACGATCAGCAGTTTATTCTCTGTCCTCAGGTCCAGGTATCTGATCGCCCTCTGTTCCTCTCCCGTGATCTCTCTTTCAGCAACGCAGGCCGAAATGTAGAGAGGAGATAGAGGTTTTTCAACCATCGCTCAAAAAAACTGAAACAAATTCGTAATAAATTCAGTAGCCAAATGGCAGTAGGTAGGAAGGTGACCCTCCGAGGTCACAAGCCCACAAGCCTCAAAAGACCAGTTGTCGAAGTGGGGAGCCACCAATGCTAAGTCTGAAGGTCTTTCTGAAGCTTTTTCTTCCCTTTTAGGCTTTCTGGCTGGAAAAATCAGAAACAAAACGAAGAACTGAAACCCAGGATTTTTAATAAAGGTCACCAACCTCAAAGGTAGCGGGTGCATTAGCCCCTAGAAACATCCCCTCCATTGCCATTGGGAAACCTGAACTGGGAAACTGGCTGTGCCCAGCCCGGGGCAGGACCGTGCATTAGCAGATCGTATCTCCCCATACTTCAGATCGTATCATGTGCAGTGGACGAGCGGAGTAAGGAAGGAGGCAGAGAGCTCCTTCAGCCAAGGGTACTGCCAACACCAGGGCAGCACATCAGCTGGGTGTGCCTGGGTCAAGACCACAACTTTTGAGGAACAGGATTGTAAGATTTCAGCCCAGAACAGGTATTTGGAAAAGGTGAACGCACAAAACTCTCCCAATACATTTCTGTGGTCTCTTACAGGCAGTTCCCTCTGCTCCTTTTGATTTGCGTGTAAATACTTCAGGAGATATTCTCTTTTAATGCACCTATTTTGATGAGAGGTTGATTGATTGAAAATGTTGCATAAATGTCCAATTTCCAAATAACTATTTTAGCCTGGTCAGCATGAACCTCCAGGTCTTCTGAGTTCTCATGAGAGAATTTGCAGCCCACTGTAGTGTTTCAAAGAAACTGTACAGTTTGGGTTTTTTTAATTCGGAAAAAAGATTCCCCATAGAAGAAAAATACCAAGATAACATACCAGCTTGTTTTACATTTGCTGTGTACACTGATCAAGATGTAAGAGCTTTCAAAGACCATAAATGAAAAGATGCTATTCATAGTCTCATTTTCCAGAGATAAGGTGGCTTGGAGTATTTTTTTTTCCTTCCTTTGAGATAAAGATGACATAAGCTAGTGTAGAAATAAAGGAAAATAGGGTCATTCTAATTCCTGCACAAAAGGGTAAACCATAGCATAGTAATAGCAAGAGTGCCTATGACAGAAAGGTGTAAAATCCAGGGAACATTTCATGTGCCAGCTTGAAGAGGGCAGTGGCACCTCCTGATAGCCACACGCTCTGCTCTGTCCTAGCAGATGGACCACGGGACATCCTCAGGACTCACGTTAGCTTCTGTAGTTAATGGAGCCCCCGTTACTTTCAGAAGAGTTTTAATTAATTTGAAACCCTTTAAACTAACTAATCAAAACTAGCGGTTCCCAGGAGCTGTGAGATGGGGGAGCACACCTGAAAGGGGCCTTCAGAGCTGCGAGTCATCCTTGTTTCATGCAAAAATACAGTCACCAGAGCTTTGCTGGGCTTTCTAGCAAGGGAGCCAAGCTTTCCATGCTGCGATGATACTTAGCAAGAGCTGAGGCATGTAAAGGGAAAAAGCCCTGACAGCAACATGCCAGCCGTGCTGGGCATTGCACATATTGCAAGTGCATCTCACAATCAACGGTCTCCAGAAGGAAGCAGAGGAAAGGAGGAATTGTCTACAAAGGTCACCAGTTCTTTTGTATTTTAAGGTTTTCCTGATGCCATTGCTTTCACTTCAGCATCCTCTTTTGTGGGCCTGACTGCTTTCACACCAGGAAAGAGAAATATTGCAATATGACTGTCAGATCATAAGTCCACTCACCCTTCCTTGCTTGTCCCACTGAGATGACCCTGGGTGCTGGATTGCCCTCTCAGCGCAGCATGCAGGGGAAGGTTGAACATGTAGGACAGACGGACAGCGCAAGGCTTTCACTCCATGGCTGAGTTAGAGCCCTCCACCAGCCATACCCGCATTGCAGCTTGCTTTCCATGCTGGAAGCATTGAAAAACTGAAACACAGCAATCACAATTTAATAACGAAGTAAGCACAGATACTGGTTCACACGTAGTTGCCTGCGTAAGAATAGGCTGGCCCTCTTCCATAAGAGTTGGCAGGATGTTCTATACTATGTGTAAAGTAGGCTACGTTAGCACTAAAATGTTTTGAAACATGGGGGAATAGACCATGAGCCAGTCCAATCCATGAAGATGAGCTATGTAAGTCCTGGTGCTTTTACAGCAGGCGGTGCCATGTGGGTGCCAGTCTTGAAGCACCGGGCGTTGGCGGCAGGGCAGTCTCAACCCATCTTCCCCAGCTGCAAGGTTCTTGTTTCTCCAAATGTTTCTCCTTGTGACCCAAGGTTATCCATTGCTTTCTCCATCACTCAAGACCTTTGTATTTCTTTCAGAGATTTGGTGTTCTACAGTCCAGTAGCCTTAGTATTTCACCTGTACTGAGGTGAAATGTATCCAGTATTTTATATCTTACAGTGAAACCTCATATGGGACCTCTGAGACCCCCTTAAAAAGATACTCTCCTTCTGCTGCATGTATGGCTCTTAACAGGTTGGTTGTTCCACTAGTGTCTGATTCTGGAGCTGTCGCAGGATCTACAGTTTAGGAAAACTGCTTTGAAAATCAGTGTAACTACTTATATTTTCCCTCACCGTACGGTTTAATTCCCTTTGGAGCCTATCTCTGGAAGGATACTTTACATACTACTTAGGTAAGTTGGCAGTGATCAGTCTATGCATCACTATAGGAGCATATATAGGCAGAAGATGGCTTTAGAGAAAGGAAGCTGTTCTTCAATTTAGCAACTTGAACTTCTTCTCACTCCTTCTCTCCTTGGATCTCCCCATTTTTTCTGACTCTTCCTTTTTCTTCACGGGTACAAGACAGGCATGGCCTTCTTGGCTTACATGAATGCAATGTGTAGGAGGGAGATCTCCACTATAACAACCTTTACGACAAAACAAGAAACTTTAGATAAACCAAGGAGATATAATAGATCTTACCGTCTGCAAAGACATCACTTACTCCTCTGTCTCAGAGTACAACAGAAGAAGAGAAACCGAGATGGGGACTGTGATCTCGCCTTCCCCTGAGGTGTGGACATGCCAGGCAGGGACTCCCGATGTGTAAAAAAATCTCAGCCTGGTCTGGAGCCATCGCAGGCAGGGCTTCAGCAGGCACTAAAACCGCTGGGGGCGAGCTCCTGCATGGGAGGTCAGCTGCAACCTGCCTGGGAGAAGGACTCCAGGACACGATAGGTGCCCAGCAGCAGCGGGGATGCAGAAACAGGGAGGTGAGGTGGCCCCCTCCTTGCCCCCTGTCCCGGGGGCAGCCCCAGCCTGCTCCCACCTCGCACCCGTGGGCACCACGAGGCTTCTCCCAGCACCAAAGACCTTCCTCCAGGTCAGGGCTGAAGGGACATGGTGTCACCTAACCCCACTGGACCTCTTTCCTCGGTGACACAGCCACGCATTCACTACTTCAAGACTAAATTCTTTATCGGGCTCCATGTGCAGGGATCCGCTGCGATCGATCACAGCGATGGGTACAACCATGCCACAAAGTGCTGTCCCTCAAAAGCCGCTTGTCCCAACCCTGCTGTGCCTGACCCGGCGTGAGCCCGACCTCCTGCACGGTGGCCAGGGCTGCTGTCACCCTCCAAACCCTCCTGCTCCAGCCCAGCGTTGCTTTGCCTCCCTCGTGGTTTGTCTATGAATGCTAACGGGGTGATACACTGACTAACCAGTGTATCTGGTTCTCCCTGGGCTGGGGAAGCCATTGGCAGGGGAGGGTCACCGCAAAATCACCTGCACGCTGCCCGGCGTGGGGCTGCCCTGTTGGGAAGGGAGCGTGTGCTGGTCTGGCAGCAAACCTGGACTCGGGGTTGGATGGAGCAAGACAGAAGGAGATTGCCTGGCAGCTCCAGCGAGCGGCACACGGACGAGGATGCCATCATGTGGCCAAAGCTTTTTGTTCACTTCCCACTCGCTTTGCATGTTTTTATATTAAAAGTTTTCTGCCCTCTGCTCCCTTCCTACACCAGGCAGTCCACAGCTCCCTGACAGCTCCTCTGGCAGGTGTGTGTTACACGAGAGTTTTGTCCGAGTAAATCCTGGGCATCCGTCTCAAAACTGGTTTAATTGGATGAAGAATATCAGGAAAAATCACCATGCAACTCCAACGTGGGTCTCAGGGCTTTACGCCCTGAACAGACCAAACCTGGGCACCGTGAGGGCAGGATCATTCCGATACACAGCTTGTTGCAAACCTCATCCGTTTAATTAATTCATGGTCCATTTTACATAATGCAGGCAGATAAGCAACACCATTTATTTGCACCGAAAAACCAGTCTCCCCGAGTATTATCCCTGGAGACATATGATATTATGCATCTAAAGAACATGTTTTACATATATGCATTAAATAGCTAACATGGAAGGCACGAATCCGTAAATGCAGCCAGCAACAAATACTTGTGTGAAGGCTCATCAATTTTATCCATATCATTTATCAAAAACAGTTCCCCGTGTTCTTGCCAAGCTCAAAGGCACTGTGAGCCTCCTTGCCTGCAAGTCCTGAGATGAAGCAACACCAACTGTTTCTCCCACTTTTTAAGGCCAGTTTTGGGGAAGCCACACCTCTGTTTTTAATTGGGGCCCCAGTGAAGAGGAGCCCAAGGTTGGGGACCCCATTTCTGGGTACCGCTCCAGACCCGAGGTTTTAGGCACTTTCTGCTGAGGTCTTCAAGTCTTTTTGCCAATTCCTCCATTCATCCAGGGAAGAGGACGCAGGAGTTTCTCTTTCCTGCTCCTTTTATGGAGGAAAGCTGGACAGCTGCTCCAGGTTGTCTTCAGAAACCTTTATCGAGGGCATCTGCTAAAACTGCCATTGCTAGGCTTTTTCCCCAGAGCTCTTCTTCTCCAGAGGAGGATGGGGGGAACCATACATTTCCCAGAGGACGGTGTTGTCCCAGACTGTTCCCCCATGCATGTCCCTCTGCATGCGAGGCTTTTACCTCTCAGCCTCTCCTGCCAGTGCCACCAGAGTCTCTTGTCCCAGCAGAGCTGGTTCTTCCTGGGTTTTGGCATCAGAAGCTCCATGCTTAGAAAATAAAGCATGGAGATACTTGACAGCATAAACAGAAATAATCATGATGTAAAAGATCTTGGAATAATTGAAAGGCTGAGGTAGACCAAAGAGAGACCTGGGTCTGCACCAGTTGTCTCAGTGGGATGAGAAACACGGGGGGGAGAAACACGGAGGGGAAACATGGCGGGGAAACACTGGGGAGGAGAAACACGGGGGGGGAGAAACACGGGGAGGGGAGAAACACGGCGGGGGAACATGGCAGGGGGAAATGCAGTCTTGTTTTATTGTTTTCTGAAGAAAAAGAGCAGCTTAGTCTCTGGATTTAACATCCTCCTGTTTCCCAATTTAATTTATACCTTGGATAATAAACTGAAGTTGTTGAAGCCCTTAGCATTTTTGCATGATAATGTGTTAAATTGTGGCAAACTGGAGAGTAAAACATGAGTATCCGTGCGTATGGGTGGAGTCATCTATTTGATCCTGAAAGCAAGCTAGGATTTGGTGGGAATCCAGACCTTCCTACTCAAAAAGCACCTGCGCACCCACCACCCCTCCTCTTGTCCTTGTTCACACAAAAGACGAGCATTATACACAGTGTTGTGCATCGGCCGATGTCGGGTGGGCTGGGGTTGGGTATATCTCACTCGTGTGGGTAAGGGACGTAAGTTGTTCTCGTGGCTCAAAGGGAAAAATGTCATCGGTGAAAAAGCCCAACGCCGCCATGGGAATTATTAAGGTGCTCTTAGACAACAGAGTGAAAGATTTGATAAGAAAATGGTCTTTGGGTTTGATTGAGCTGGTGCAGTTGTCAGAGTCCTCCGGGGACTAAGTCCATGGCAGAAGAGAAAGCAGATGCTGTCGGTGCAGGACGGGAGTCTTCGGTCAGAGCAGCTGAGCCCTCACCAACACCACACTGCTGATTTGGCTCGGGAAAGTAGGAGACTTTCAGGGCTTCTTGGTAACACTTTTGAAATAAGAAAAAAGGAGGTTTATGAAGTACTGCAGCAAATAGCAAAGACTGCCACGAATAATCTTGAGTATTTAACGGCTAAAAAAGTTTCTTTAATCAGATATTTTTAGTGCTGCTCCTTTATGCAACCCTAGGTTTATGAGGGA